TGGGGAGATGGGCGGGGACAAGTTAAATAAATAAATAAATAAATAAATAAATAAATAAACTATAGCTCTCATTGGATAGTGATAACCTTGCTACAATAATCCATGCCCAGGTCACTTCTTGACACTATCACAGTGTGTTATATAACTGCCCTTGGCTATGTTTAAAAATTTCAGTTAGTACAAAACACTCCAAACATATTGACTGGAAGTAGGTAATATGAACACATCATGCCAGTTCAATGACTTCAATGACTCCCAATTTGTTTCCAGCCCCAAATTTAACCTGTAAAACCATTCATGGTTTGGGACCATAGTATCTAATGGAACATCTCTTCCCATATATTTGTACTTATACCATAATATCTTTGGAGGGCTAATGTATTTTTAATCAAGGGTTTTAACTACTTGTTTTGTTTGAATTTAAACTGCTTTGGGTTGATTTTAAAATGGGAAGCAGTATACAAATGTTTTAAATAAATAAAATATATAAGTAAAATAGCTTGGATCACTCAATATTTCTTGAAGACAATACTAAGTCATGTGAATAAAATAATGGTCCTACTGAGAACCTGGTTTTCTACTGTTTAGTTTAAAATCTTAGTATACCTCCAAAACATATTTAATTCTTCATAATTATATATCAGATAGGGTTGTGCAGTTCTTTGGATTCATTTCCAAAAAGTGTGGGTTATGACACAAACATAGAACCTGTTTGCAATTTCTTAACAATCACATCTTTTCCTCGGATCATGAGCCAGTACATGCTTCATCTTTAATTTGTACAAAATTTACTTTTGGCATGATAAAAGGAAGACAGATTAACATCTTCAAGGGATGGCAATGCACAGAATGTTCTCTAAACTGTCACACTGATCCTCCTGAAAGGAAGCAAAAGCTTATGCCTACCTAAAAAGTCAGCTAACACTGACTTTTACTGGACATTTCTGGCCTTATTTGGAAGTCAAACCAATTAAAGAAAAGACATATCAGTTCACTAGATGAGAGCCAGTTTGGTTTAGTGCTTAAGGCATCAGGCTAGAAACCAGGAGACTGTGAGCCCCGCCTTAGGCATGAAAGCCGCCTGTGTGACTTTGGGCCAGTCATTCTCTTTTAGCCCACAACATCAGGCTTAGGCAACAAGCCAGTCAGTCAATTCCTGTCACAAACAATGGATCAACATTTGGTTGATCCAAAAAAAGCGGACCCTGCACCTGTAGGAAAAAGGTTAGGAAGAAAAAAAATATCAGTTCACTAGATATACCCCAGAGGAAAGCAAAAATCTCTAAACTGTTACATGAATACCTTCTCTACCTGTTATCTTAGGACCAGAGATGTCCATGTATTTCTATAGAAATGCTTGAAAAGGGTGGAAAATATCCTCAGCTTCTATCCAGATCACTAAATTGGAGTTGCTTAATTTAGTAGAGCCTAGAACTTTCTACTCCAGTCTTAACAACAGTGTTATGTTGTTATTATGATACATGACAGAGTTAGCAAAATATTAACATTGAACATTTTCACAGAAAATTTGCAAAGCTAGTCGATGTTCAGGCTATAGTACTTTGTTAGCTCTTTTTACTGCATGTAATATATGTAATATAAGGCTTTTTATGGACAATAGGAAGGCTTTATAAAATAAAAGTTGAAGACTACATTTGTGCATTGTTTAAATATTACTTAAATCTAGCACATTATGCATGTTTTTTTAATAAAATGACCATGTTTCTACTTTCTTGGATCTGAGCTCACTTATTCATTTATATAATGTCCAAGATATGTGAGATTTAGGATATAATTACTTTTGCTCAGTTTTGACCAGTGATTTTCATGGTTGCTAGGACATTACACAGTTTCTGGTTTTGTTCATCTTCAATGAGGGTATAAACAAAAATGTCATCCATGAACACTGAAACATCTTTTACATGCTTTAGGGAAACAGACATGTGTCTTTGAGGCAACTTAGAAACATTAGAAATCCCCATAGGTAACCTTTTAAAGAAAAATATACCAGTGTAATAAACATAGTTAATTAGATCCACTAGATCCATTGTCAACATCAGGCAATGGGAATACCTGAGCACCAGCAAGTTGTGGGAAAATATCATCTATAGTGGGAAGGGTGTATCACTTTTTTTCCACAGTTTTGTTGAAACAACTAG